GGGCAGTGGTGGCGGCGTGCGCGAGGTCACGCCGTAGGAGCACGCACCTTGCAGGGAGCCGTGGCGGCGCACGTCGTACGCCAGAAGCGCGGCGATGGCGGCCAGCAGCAGGAGGTTGGCGCGCAGCCACGGAAAGCTCGAAGCGGCGCGGGCGGTCGCCATCCTTTGCAGCAGTTCCTACGGACAGGCAGGGGGCGCGCGTGCGCTCCGTTTGCTGAATCGAGTCGAGTCGAATGGTCGGGGATGCGACGGATCGTTTGCTATGCTGTTGCTGCTGCTGCAGCGGCGGACGTGGCGGACCGTCGTTGCGCCGAGCACGATCGAGTCGTCACACGCAAACAAACACAGACAGACAAGAGCAGGCACGTGCGCGTGCGTCGCACACGCGTGACGTGCCCTCGCGCGGGCCTCCCGCTCGGGAGCGAAGAGAGATTGCCGACGCGGCGCGAGCCTCACGGTTCGTAACACACAGCTCGCACAGGCTATATTTTTCACCTCGCTCGGGTTGTATCGACCAGCGTGGGGCCCGGTGGCGGTGGCGATGGCGGTGGCGGTGGCGGCGGCGGCGGCGGCGGCGGCGGCGGCGGCGGCGGCGCAGCCTCCTTCCCCGGGGCCATTCCGCCCCCACTCCACTTACGCGACTGCCCGTCACTAGCCAGCCCCGCCCCCGTACTCTTTAGTCGTACGCCCCACCCCGCGTCGAGCAAAACAACCCCCCGGAGGGCGGACGAAGAACCTCACTCGGTCACAATGGAGGAGACGCGTTGTGAGGTTTCCGCCACCAAGTCATTTCGTAAATGTGGCTGCATTTCTACTTTCCCGTATATTTACGTATATACAGAGTAATATACGTAGAATAGGAAAAGTTATGTAGTGTTGCGCGAAAAAACGGTGGATTTTCGGCAGAAAAAATTTTATTGCCGCCCTGATATCGAAGACGTGAACAAATTCAGTTATCAAATTTAAAAAAATCATCTAACACGTGTAGCCAGAATCCTTACTTTGTGGTTCCTTGATACCGAAAAGCCAAATGACGGCAAAACGTCTGTCTGTCGTCTGTCTGTCTGTCGTCTGTCTGTCTGTCGTCTGTCTGTCTGTCGTCTGTCCGTCTGTCTGTCGTCTGTCCGTCTGTCTGTCGTCTGTCCGTCTGTCGTCTGTTCGTCGTCAGTCCGTCTGTCGTCTGTCCGTCCGTCTGTTGTCTGTCCGTCTGTCTGTCCGTGAACACTACTAGCGCCTCAACCATGAGTAGGATTTTTTCCAAGTTGAAGAAACACCCCCTGGCTCGTGTCGAAACTTTGAGATTTTGAAAACATTCTTCAAAATTGTTTTTTTTTTTATTTCTTGTAATATTAGAGTAGCATACACTTATAAACGTGGCATAGGTCCAATTTTTACGGTTAACTCAGAATTTTCGAAAATTTCAAAAGTATTATTTTCGAAGTTTTCCCACAATTACAAAAGTAAAGATGATAAGAGTTTCCTTCAAATAAAATTTGTTCTCCATAGTGAGTTATGTACATTAAAGTAGTGTACATTTTTTGAACATTTTAGTAGTCTTCCCGCAATATTGCGTGCAATACGTGCAATTTAAAAAAAAGAAAAAACAAGATTTTCTCAAAAACGGCTTAATTTTTTTCTTTAAACTTTTGGTAAGGAGAATGAAAAATGTACTCTATAAGATAATATAAACGCCTTATATCTGTTCGGTTTTTTCAAAAAAGTAATTTTTTGTTTACTTTTCTCTCACGTCGTTAAATATTTATAATAGCGGCAATTTGTTCACATTATTATATTTACGTGTACCTCTGCTTTAAATAATGTCCAATAAAGTTTCTGAAAAACAACAGTTTTCTGTGAAAACTAGCTCAAAATCCTGCATTTTTAGAAATGCTTAAACGGCTCCAAATATTTTCTTGAAACTTTTCGAAAGGATAGAGCTAATTTTTTAATAACTCTTTAATATGACTGAAATAATAACTCTTTAATATGACTGAAATAATAACTCTTTAATATGACTGAAATAATAACTCTTTAATATAACTGAAATAACATTTCGGTGTAATTATTTTTTTTTTCAAAATTGAAACAAAAAATATTTTTTGAAAGATCTCTCACGCTGGTAATATGCGCATTTCCAGCCATTTGTAAACACTGTAATATTTGTGAGTATTTTAAATGACTTCAAATGAAGTTTTTCGAAAACTCAAATTTTTTCTGTGAAAAAGTTTCAAATTTAGGCATTCCAGAAGCGCTGAAACTCCTTTTTCTTAAAAACGACACTTTTTCAAATAAAATTGCAATTTAAGACAAGGTTTTACTGTTCTTTAATACCTATAAAATAATATTTCGGTTCTATTGTTAGGAAATTGAAAAACTAAGAAAATTATTTTAAAAAAATACTTTGTGCGGCGGTAGATGGCAGCTGGCAAGAATATGTGGCACGTTCGTATAGTTAGCCGAGACTAAAGGATATAGAAAACTAAAACTAGAAACTCATTCTGTAGCACCAGTAGTTACTTTCTCGCTACTACTTACACAGTAAAGAGAAAGTTGTGTAATGCTGCACGAATAAACGGAGAATTTTCGACACAACTAGTAATGCCGGGCCCTGGTAACGAAAAAGTGGATAAATCCAGTTGCTAAATATAGAAAAAGATTTCCTCAAACACGTGGTGTAGCCACAATCCATGTTTTAAAGGGACTTCGTACACAAAAATCGACTGCAAAGCTTTTGTGACCGTTAGAGGCAAAACCGTTCTCCAAAATTGATGTTCTCAATTCAATCTTATTTATATCGCGGCAATTGAATTTGAAACCGATATTTTAATTTTGGAGGGTACTTTACATTAAAACCCCCTAGGACATTTTCAAAATTTTCAAAAGATGTTTGCAAACTTTTTGATTAATTTTTGTTGTTTGCTAGTGTGAAGGGCATTTAAGAGAATGGTGCACGTGTAATTTTCGTTGAAATTCTGCTTTTTCGAAAATTGGAAAAATAATTTTTTGGGGGTTTCACTACAACTATAATTTTGAAGATTTTTCCTTCTTACAATATGTGTCTTGACATCTTGAAATAAAGTCAATTCCAATTTTTCGAAAATTGAGTAGTTTTTGCGCGAAACATAGGCATAATAAATTCTCAAAAAACGCTCCACAATATTTTTTTTAAAATTTACTCCACATATGTAACAAGGAACTAGGTTGGTGCTAGTCCCATTTTCTGCTATTGCTCCATTTTTTTCGATAATTGCAAAAAGTTAACATTCTAAAACTACAAAATTGACAATAGAGACTTTTGCCTCAAAGTCTGTTGTAAAAAAATCAGCTCTTTAAAAAAGGCCATGTACAACTTTTACAAAAAAAATTGTTTTATCTTTATTTGCGCTTCAAATTTACGAATTTCTAAATTACTTTATAAAAAAGCTTTGCAAATATTTTTAATTTTACCCCTCGCAGATAGAAGGGACGCTTAAAGGAATGGCGCAGGTCTCATTTTCCATGAACAGTCCGTATTTTCGAAAATTGGAAAATCATTTGGAAACTACAAAACGGAAGATAGAGATTTTTTGTCGTAAAAAAGATTATTCTAAAAATTATTAATTATTAGCTCATTAGAAAGTCAATATAAATCGTGTATATTCATAAATCATGCGTATTATACAATACGTATTCTGTATTAATGCATTTTTTCCAAGCAATGCAAAAACCTGAATTGAAATTAGCCCAATTCGGTTTTCTCTCTTAAAACTATAATTTAAATTTAATAGGAAAGAAAATTTAAAAAATTGAATTTGGAAAATTTTTTATTTAACTTTAATTTATATCACAACTGTACGTTGCAACAATGCATCGACGGATATATGAGAAGTTCATTGTTGAGCGGCGAAATGATACAAATGATAAGGTAAGTGGGTTTTATTTACTTAATGTTGGTGTTACAATGTTCTCTACGCCCAATAAAATGGTATACTCAACATTATTAAAATTGAGAAAAATGTATATACAAGATAATGATGTGGTTAGGCGGAAGAGCGGGGCCGAAGGCCTGAGTCTTGCTGTACAAAGTCATCTATATCAATAAAATATTATCTCTCCTTACATTATGAAATATTCTCCTAAAGTTGTTTCTACCTTTTTTAAAGTTCCATTGTCATAATTTAACAAACAATTTTAAAAATTACATTACTAGTCCAATATATTAAAATGTATAATAAAACATAAAATAATATAACTGTCATTACAATAAAACTCAATTCAATTACAAAACTCATAACAATTTTTTCAAAATTAAATGATTTCATTATATTAAACGTTACTTTTCCATATACATACTATTTATGGAGTAAATTCGTAGTATTGGGAACGTTATGAAATGCTGCACGAACAAAAAGCGGATATTCGAAAAAAAGGAAAACAACAATAACAACTTGCCAGGCCCTAATCATTGAAAAGTGTATAAATGCAGTTGCTCAATAAAGAAAAATATCCTCAAATCCGTGTAGTCAGAATCCCGGTTTTGTGAGTTCTTGATATCGAAAACCAATTGACAGCTTGTATGTCTGCCTGCCTGCCCGTCCGTCCGTCCGTCTGTCGATCCTAAGGGTTTCGAATTCCACATGTTTTAATTCCTTGGAAGAGGTCCTCTTCCGTGAATTCATGGACATATTCTACTGCTTTGTACAAGTTCATCGCCAGCAGTTCAAATGGTGCAATTTTACTTTACTTTTACTTTTACCCGTCAGAAATCAAGTTGGTCAATTTGAAGAATATCCCAAAACGTCTCTATTTGTTTTCAAATAAAACAATTAATTTAACTATAAACCTTTAGCAGAATACTAATAAATGCACTTCTGTGTTGCTTCGGGCACTGCAATCTCTGGCTCATTTTTAGAACTACGTAAACAACGAAAGATTTCGGGAACTAATGTCGTCCATCCTGAAGGATGGTGGGGATATCTTACATATTCATTATACAAATTATTGCCAATTTTATTTCTTCATATCAAACTTCACATAATTTCTACACATTTCCACCCATGAATTTTCTGATCATAGAGCACGTACTGATGATTACAGCTTTCTGGACGTCGATCATTATATTTTTATTGATATTCAGATTTTCAGGTCCTATTCTCTAGGACCGTTTGTGGTTGGTACTGATAGTATCGTGTATAGGA